AAGTCGATTTTCCTGCGCAACCTGGAGGACTATTGTTTAATTCAATAATGATACGACATGGGTCAGACAAAGAGTGTATTTATATATATATCAAATATTTAGCTGTTCAAAAATTATTAACTTGTAGACAATCTACTATTTGACATTATATCATACTTGATCGTGCCTGTAAAAATGGCATGCATTTTCATGTAAATTTATGTTTATATGAAAATATAAATTATTATTATGGTTCGGTTAATGTTAGCATAGGTGAATTCAACAGTGCTAATTTGTTTTGGTGAGAGTACAGGTGGAGTTTGTGCCATATTAGTAGCAGGGTGTATATCGAGTAACTGGACTTAGGGCTTAAGGCAGTTACCTGCAAAAATTTTGTTGAATAATTCACACATGTCTGCAGAATTAGCGCATAGCCTACCTTTGTCTATGAGTAGAGAAATGCTGTGATTTTTACTTTTCATTCGCTTCTTTAAGACTTCTGTGAGAGCATACACTCTAGCAGGACTGGCTATTGCGGTGCGTTCTTCGTTTCTCATACGCAAATCTCGAGCTTGTGAGACGTTAAGTAATAAACCTAGTGTGCCAAAGTCGTGGTGTTTGAAGTAACTTGTTGAGAGTCTTTTCAGTTCGTCCGATCCTTTCGTTTTATAAATAAATTTCTATGTGGGGAAACATTTAATGTCTGGAGTGGAATGACAGCATCTAGGCATGTGTTTCAGTTATGGTAGAAGATGCTCAGAGCTCTCGAGAGGTCATCAGTAGTGAAGTATTCGCCCCATTCCGAGGATCTTAGCATTGATTCTACGAAGGCCCTGTTTACCTTACTATAGTTCCTCTATATTACTTGTTGTGAAGTGGAGGTATGAGCTGCATTGCTACTCAGTGGAAGTGGCAGTGCACACGTCACTGTTTTGTGGTCACTACCTGAAAACTTAGAACCCACTAAGATTAAGAGGGGACTTATATTGTGGTAGAATATTAAGTGTAGTACGTTGTCACCTCTTGTAGGGATAGTGACAGTTTGTTTCCAGCCGAAAATGTCCAGTGCATCCAAAAGCTTGCCTGCAGATACACCCTATCAGTAGTTGAGCACTTCTGCAGTGTACGTTGACCCATAGGGTGTTGTGCAGGCCATCGAGTTCCATGTTTTCTAGCTGTCATAAAGTGTGTTCAGGGAGTACACTAGACGGCCTCCTCCCTTACCACTCTTCCTCTCATATCGAAAGTGCATGTACCCATCAATGCTTATCTCTTCGTCTGGTATATTGGAGTGACACCAGGATTCAGTAATAATGATTGTTGGGGGTTTGTATACCAGCGTGTGTGCCCTCAGCGTCGTAGTTTGTTTAGGATACATCTAGCATTGATAAGTATTAAATGGAGTTGAGATTTGAAGTACTGTATGAAGTATTTAGGGTCCCAGCTGCTGAATGGTATACGAGCTTTCCTTGTAACCGGAAGGTCCTGGGTTCGAATCTCAGTGGGTGCGTACTGCCGATGATTCCCAAACTAGGATGAAACAGCAGCTATCCAGTCCAAATATCTGTTTAGTGCGTCTGTGGTATAGCGGTTAGGACGCTCGCCGACCATGCACATGGCCCGGGGTTCGATACCCGGCCAACGACGCACTCCTTTATCTCGCTAAGCCAGAAATAATGCCGGTGAAGAGGAAAGGTTGGACATCAGGCTAGCAACCCCACCCTGTAAAATGAACACTGCTACAGAATTTTCAAGCCACTAGCTTGAGGCCCTATGTTCCACTAGGGAACGTGAAGGATAAAAGGAATTATTTTAGCCTGTCAATCCGGCTCAATTGTGGATCGGCACCTACTGGATCCGCGTGTCATTTTAAGGCATAATAAAAATGATGACTGGAATGACTGACTCACTTCCCATACCTCTTTATGCATTAAGTATTCCTACTGAGTTTGCATTCCCTCACATGTGTATATCAAAACGTCTTGCTGTTGGTTGGTCCAATCTCACATAATCCTCCGGAGCTTCACAGGCTGCAGTAGAGAGTTAGAGAGAGCAGGAGCTTCATTATGACACTCTGATGTCCGTGACTAGAATAATTCTTTACTAAGGCTAAATTAGCATGGCTGAAATAGCTTCGACCATATTTTTTTGATTACAGCTTCATTCCACACCGTAATTTTTGGTACAGGTATGGAATTTTCAGCATGGATATCGGTAGCCCAAATTTGCAGGCCGACCATAGATATCAGGTGTGCGTCGGCGGGGGATCGAACCCCGGACCGTGTGCATGGTCGGCGAGAGTCCTAACCACTGTGCCACCGACGCACGTAATCACGAACTTTTACATATCATGAGCGAACAATCTGTGACCTTCACACCACCCGGGCTTGAAATAGCAGTCGACCTTCAGGTATATAATTTAGCCTTTAGCGTCCATTATCCAGGACGACAACAAAAGGTTTATTTTTACACACAGTTATGAATTCTTGATAAGTGGCTAGGTTTATTTTCGTCTCTCCTAGCATGCATACGACGCTCCTACACTTAGTTTCGCCTTTCTTCCTTCAGATCAGAGACTGTCTTGGCAAGCCTGAATTTTTGAGGAAATTACCCTTACATCTCATTATTATATTAAACAATTATTTCTCTATTTTTATGTGGACTGTGGAGAATTCTTAAGAGTGTAATGAAGTTGTGTACTTCCCCAGTTATTATTTTCTTTCCTCTTTCGCGTTGCAGGGGTTTCCAGAATCAGGTGGCTAAACAGCTGTACGACTGTCATAGCCTGGTAAAATCCTGTCTCGCCAGAGCAATGTTGGGTAGCTTGCTTGCGACAGTTCCTGAAATAGTTCCTTTCTCAACTTAACCAAGTTTTTCCTGCCATCTTCACTTGGTTCTCGTCTCCATGTGGCAATGTAGAATTCTGAGCTAGCGCAAATGCATCAGCCATTACTCCAGATAGAACACCCAGGCAGTCTGAAGGGATATATAAGTTTTTCAACCTTGCACATAAACATTACCGTGGCACCAGTATAGCGAACGGGAGTTCGACAAAACATAGGGTTTTCATAACACCAAGACGTTCATGGTGTAAAGCACTAATTCCGATGGCTAGAAGTAATTCCGAATTCAGCATTCATACTATTTGCCCCAAGCATATCTGTGCACTACGCTTGTGAAATATAATCTGGCTAGACTTTGAATGGAACTTATACAAGAAAGCCTTGGGAAGTTATGGGCTTGTATTGACAAGCCAAGATCAAGAAAGCCCAGCTGAAGGGCTTGGGGAGGCGTGGTCTCGGCGGGAAATTATTGAAAAAAAAACCTACTACATGAAATTTTAGGTTCAGTTCACTAGTTCACTGTTCCATTAAAACAGGTGAGGAAAACACCTCAACAGTTCTTCTTCAGTTCTGTAAAAATACAAAGCCGCACGCGTGAGCATGTTAGACCCCTCGATATTGAATGGTTCTTCACCATTCACACATACTTATGACATTCAAACCAAATCAATTGTCTGAAGTCATTAAACAACAGAAGAGTTCTGCCTGTGATCCGGTGATACAGAGACATTATTAAAACTATTGAAATCATAAACAATAACAACAAGCCAATCATCCCTAAGTTCATCCGAAGGAAAGGGAAGGGCATACACCAGCTATTCGGTTCCTGTTCTGCCGGCAGTCCTAATTGCGAGGACTAGATATTTCACGTTAGTGCTCTAACATCATGGGACCACTTTTTTGTGCAATATAACATTCACATAGCAAACGATTTCAACTTCTCTATCATCACTCCGGACCCAATGAGAGGGTGATCCTCGCGCAATCCTATCTTCCCTACTGGAAAGAGGTAGTGAGGGCGTGCCCACCAATCTCCTACATATTTTTAACAAATCCTTAATGAGTGATTATTAACTAGAGATTTGGAGGTTGTCATTTATAAGCTCCAAACCCAAAAACTGACTAATTCTCAATGCACAAAAACATCAACATATCAGTATCATACCAGTCCCTTCCACGATTATGGAAAAAGGCAGCAGAGCAAGGTGTCGCTTGACACCTTCACTACAACAAACTAGTTGTGCATCTTGGAAAAACGACCATATTACACCTGTAAAAAGATCAGTTCGAATCACTGAGATCCTATTGAACATTTACTTTTGGTAATTACTTCATTGTTTCAATAATGAGTATACATATAACTGACCATTGGCCGAAGGAGAATAACAGCTTCTAAAAACGCAATTTTTCACGAACTCTAATTACGAAATAGTTTGTTTCACAAACATATTTGAAATTCCTTATTCATAAATTTCACGGTGCTTTTCAACGAACTTCATCAAGCCTGCGAAATACGTGTTAATTCATGTGAATATTTTTTATATTGCTTATGTGAAGTAGATATTATTGTTGTACGTCGGAAGCACAGCTGTTAGGACGCTCGCCGACCATGCATATGGTCCAGGGTTCGATCTTCGGCCGACGCACACCTGAAATCAATGGTAGGCTTGCTAAATTTGGGCTACCGATATCACAAGCTGAAAATTCCGTACTTGTACCAAAACACTGTGTGGAACCAAGCTATAATAAAAAGTGTCCTGATTGCGGGAATCCTTTCCGACAACACAACGATGACAAAAAACCTCGACAGTCTATATATGCTGGCCATTAAATGATGGTTAGGGATTAAGAAACTTCTCATAACAGAATTTCGCCAAGGGTAACAGAGTAGACATCACATATATATTAACATAAAGTTGAGTTGACAGATGCATGAACCATTAATTTTCCTTCAACCCCGTAATATTTTGTTTGATGCACTGCATCCTCATAAAATTAGTGCTTGAACGATTGATAAATTTGGTTACTAAGTAGGGCTTTGAAAACCATCAAATCATCTTTAAGCAAAGTCATATTGATATTATCACACACTCAGCTATTTTGCCACTTCTTCATCCACTTAAAAAATTTGTTTTATCCAAATAATTATGCTGAAGGCGATATATCGACTGAATTGCTGAAAACAGACATGTTACTAGTAGTAACGTTTTTATAAAGAAGTGGCGCGTATTACTAATTTCCAGCACTTTCCGTCGAATTTGGTCGAATCCAGATGTTGGACAGAAAATGTTGTAAGTTAACATGTCCATGATTTGACTAAAGCAATAAAATCTCGGGCGAATTTAAATTATCATATAAAGTGGAATATCATGTTCGCCATATTTTTTAGTGTTTTTCTCCAGTTATGCGACGTTTTCACATCCGAATTTCGATTGGCCGTTCAAGGTCCCGGTGATGTTGGCTACTGCAGTTAAAATTTGCCAATTTTAGAATTATTGTACCAGTTATAATCACATTTTTATTATCCTAATCGAACAAAAACGGGAACACTGTTAAAAAGGGGGATATATATCAGTTGTTTAATAGGAAAAAATTTAACAACCCTTCTGCGATATCTCATCCGCCTTTGAAAATATGAGCATATATATATGTATATAACCAGACCAGATTAATGAATCTACTGAAGCAACACTAAGTTAACCAAAAAAAGTAGACAGGATGCAGGATAATCTTTCATTAGGTCAAGATTTTTTTCCTCTTTCATACAATTCATTTACATGAACTCAATTTTCCGTGACTTTTGAAGGACACATTTGAATTTTTCCACTATTCTTTTACTATAGCAGAACAAACAAGAGATTAGTTAACTCAAAATATGCCACTAATAGACAATTTTATTGTCAGTTCTCCTAAAGCATGTGAAGGATCCTAATGGTTTATAGCTTATGTAGTTGAGCATTTTGAATAATAAGAATCAGAGGCTTACAACTTCGTGAGATGGCTTACAATAGCACATATGTGCCGATGATATCGTTGTTAAAATTCTAATGATCATAAACCTCGTTTTACGTTTCTCGTCCTACCCGAATCATATTCAGTAAGTTGATGGTTTGTGTTAGCAAGCATAATATACGCTTTGCACCTCCCAAGTTCGAAGTGATGGTGCAAGGGTGGCAGCACCCTGTACATGTAATCACCCATAAAAATGAACTGTTTGAGTATCTATACTGTTGGCGGTGTAGTGAGAAGTGGAGTTTGTAATCATATAATGAAAATCAGAGCACTATACGCCAGGTTACACATCTATCACCGTAGAGATTTTATTTTGGTTGTCTAAGGTCGTGTTTACGATGTTGTTTTACTCTACACCTCTGAAATTTGGCTTTTATGAGCTGAGGATGTGCGGCGACCCTGCAGTCGTGTTAGTCCCTGGGTAATTCTGAGGTTAAATGGCATGTGTCTGGACATGGTGATCACCTTCCAATACTAGCCTACGTGGTGTGGAGACATACTGCGAATGTTATCCCACAAACTTCCATGCCGTTTACTCCTTTCTAACCGTGGGAGTAGATAGGAAAAGCGGAGTGGTTGTTAGTCTATGATGTCATGCACTGGGATGAAGTTTTGTGTTCGGGTTAGCACCACTTGGTGTACCAAGATTACTCAAGTGAAGTCCCAGAGGCAATGGGACTTAATGAATGTTTCAGAATACAAATCAGTAATACAAATTAGTGAATACTCCTTTATATATTCTTAACAAGCACTCTTACCTGTTTTGTCAATATTCTATCTCTTTTTTCCCTATATCGTCGTCTTTGTCTTCTTTTGGAGAGTCTCTTGGTGCACCTTTTGTGCTAAGTTTGTGTTTCAAGTGAAATAAAAAAATCTTACGCGTTTATTTGTTTATTTAGTGTCATAATTTTTGATAATGTTTTGAATCATGGCAGCTCCAACTCTAATACAGATTTGTGCAGTCTTGTGTAAGTTTGTCAGTTAGTTAATCAAGGGGTTACAAAGTTTCTTATTCAGCAATATGTCAAGTTTTGCAAGTCACTTGCTGCTCTCCAACATCTCCCCCTTCATTTGATATAGTCTCGTTTATCTATCTTATTTTAAGAACAGAAATGGTGTGTAGCTAACATCCATTAGCATTCTCCAAGCAAACTAAATCACTTCATGGAAGTTTTGTAGTCACTCGGAAGCCTTCACTATAAAGATTAGAAGGTAAAGACAAGTTGTATAAAGAGACCATTTCCGGATTGTAAGCAAGCATTATCAGAAGACCGAACGTGAATCAATGTACATCTTTGCTCTTTACACCTCTCGTATTTCAAAAACGACCATCTTTTCATATATTAATCTGTAAATTGCTTTTTATCCTTGTTTTCAGATCAAATTGCAAATTTTTGGAGTGTTAACTGAACTTCTACCCAAAAATCATTCCATTCCTGTCCAGTACCCATCCAAGGACCCTATAATGTGCAATGCGTTCCTTTTCCGACTGTATGTCATTTTGTTTGCCATTAACTTTTCTTTCTTTCTTTTTTAAAGCTGAAATACAAGGTATAGTACGTATCCAAGCCTGTATTCGTGGAATTCTTACGCGCAAAAGATTCCAAGAAGCTTTACGACAATTTCGAAATGTAGCAATTGACTGTGGTGAATCTGAGGAAAGTTTAAATAACTACTGTTCTAAGTTTAATTATTTCAATAAGTATAAAACTCATCAACTTAACAACGATCGATCTTGTGAAAAATTAAAACTCCCAGAATTGTATGCTCTGAGAAACAGTCTTTTTCTTGAAGCTATATGGTTAGATCAGGCTATCTGTAGTCGACGTAACTTTCTAATGTACAAACAGAATATTATGACACATTTCAATCAGTGAGTGTGCTTATCCAGATAAAGCAATAGTAGTAGTAATAACATTATAATTACCGAGTGATGTGATTCATTGTATTATTTCCTTCTTCGTCTTATTAATTCTGTTTGATATTGACTTTATCAATGACATATTTGTATAAATATAAATATATTTTATATAAGAAAAGTAGTTATTGTACTGAAGTATAAATATATTGAGAATTATTTTTGAAAAGAGTTGTGTTGTATTTTGTTTTGTTATCTATCAGATAAGAAGTATGAAGTCTAAGCAGTCATACTCGGTAAATTTTCCACTTTTAACTAAAAATGTAGTAGATTATAATTAGTTGTTAGTTTTAAGGCACAAAAGTGAATTAATGGATAGCAGTGTTTCCATGGACTCACACAAAAAACTTGAAGGATCTGGACTTCGCCGATGATATATGTCTGATTTCCCACAAACTGGAAGATATGCAAGCGAAAAGTAACAAGTTGGCAGAAGAAGCATCAAAGATAGGACTTCAGGTGAACATAGAGAAAACAGGTGATGAAGATTCCTGGACAAGAACAACAACAACAGACAACGATTAGCATAAATGGGAGGAACCTGAAAGAAACAACCTCCTTTACCTACCTGAGAAGCATAGTTTCAACTACAGGCCGACGGAAATGACGAGGATATCAAAGCAAGAAAAGCTTTCACTACTCTCAAGCCTGTGTGGAGGTCAACAGCACTCAGCATCAAAAATAAGATCCGGATTTTCAACTCCAATGTGAAGTCAGTGCTACTCACTATACGGATCAGAGACTTGGCCAGCGCGTCATAAAGAGCATCTCAAACAAACTACAGACCTTCATTAACAGTTGTCTTCGCTCAACACCCAAGATCAGATGGCCAGAAAAGATCAGCAACAGGGATCTCTGGGAGCGAACCAACACAGCAGGAACCGATTGTGAAACAAATAGGCAGGAAGAAATGGAGATGGATTGGCCATACTCTGAGGAAACCATCAAGTGACGTCACGAGACAAGCCATTGCTCGAGTGGAACCTGAAAGGGAAGCGGCGAGTTGGTCGTCATTGCAAGGGTGACTTGGATGAGGTCATGTGAAGAGGAGATGAAAGCGTGAGGGCAGACTTGGAGCCAGGTGAAGACTCTAGCAGAGAACCGAACGCAATGGAGACGCACAGCTGAAGCCCTATGTTCCTCTAGGAATTAAAGAAAACAATAATAATAAGTGTTTCCACCTTTAAGTCAATCGTTTCAGTTGGGTTTATGCATTACGATTTCAGCCGTAGGTACCGTTGTCAGATTATATATATTTGTTTGCTGGAGTGGAAATATATTGTAAGACGTAATTATAAGTTAATTTTCAATTCATAGAAAATTCTCATTGAGACATACAGAAAATTAAAACAAGTGATTCAGCGAAAAGACTTTTCAACGAATTCATTATCAAGCTGTACAATTGTATACATATGGCATTTTTCTGGAAAGCATATCCGATGAGGGAATTGAATCATAAGTGTGAATACATAAAATAATAATAGTAGTAGTAGTATGAAATGCAATTAAAATGTTTATGATTATAATCATAGTTAAATATCAAGTGGCAAAACAATCAATGTCATATGTGGAATAATTCATAGGATGTATACAGCTTGGAAGGGGTGTGAAATTAGAGGATTAGTAGACAAATAAATACGTAAAAGTAAAAACGTTACGTAACATTGTGTGAAATTTGATAACAAAGAACTTAACGTTGCAAAACATAACTGATTTAGAATAACAAGTTGAACGAGTGAAATAATACCGGAGACAGTTCAAAGTGAGAACAGTAATAGTAACAATTGATGTTATGAGGGAAGAGTATACAAATTGAATAAACAAAACAAAAAGTAGGTAGAGCGAATATATGATCAGGGATTACCATACTTTAGCATAGACGGATTAAGACCGTGAAAGTTGGAGATGGTGAACACGCTCTTTCTGAATACAGAGATTTGGTTTTTCTATTTCGATATCCGAATCTCCAGTATTATGAATGAGTCGGACACGTAATGATTTGAGCAAACTACTTTTCGCCTTGTAGATGACTTTAAAGGCTGAGGCTGTAGAAATAGGGTGATCATCATCGACCTGATGTTCAATGATTGCGCTTCTTATTGCTCCACTTCCACCTCTTCGTAACTAGGTAGGACAGTGTTTTTGAACCCTCTTGAACAAAACCTGAGTCAAACAACCGATATACCCAGCTCCACATGAGCAGGTGAATTGATAAACGCACATAGAGTTTGGTCAGCTGCGGGATCTTATCCTTCAGGTTAGTGAACAGTAATGGTTGACTGAGAAACACTAATCTCAACTATGCAGCAGGTAATGTCATTTTCAGGGACTATGAGAACCTTCTTTTGATGATATTGGAAGCTAAGTCACCTTTAAATTCCAAGCTCATGTGTAGTATCTTCCTGGTTACGGATGATAAGTCTTATTTCATAGGATATCTATAAGATGTGGAAATCCATTTTCTATTAAGATTTTGCTCGAGAGATTTAACTCTCCCTCCACAGTATCAGGACTATATTTGTGCCGACTGCGAGTAGTAAGTGACTGGATCATGTTTCGTTTTTGACCAATGGGTACTTAGCCGCAGAAATTTGTCAGTTGATCATTCCATGACAGCTTTCTGTAAATCGATCTCTTCAAAGTTCCATCGTTCCTCCTAGTCAAGGTCACAACGAGGAAATGAATACTAGACTTGGTCTGCATTTCGATTGTGAATTTTATCGCTGGATGGTAACCATTAAACACATCTAATATATTACTCAAATTATAATCACTATTAAAAATAATAAAGGTGTCATCTACATGCATTTTATATATTTGAGAACTTTGGACTGTTGATTTCAACTGACGATTTTCTAGATTACTCAGTCTGGAAAAATTCCTCTAGATTCTAAGAACCGATGACCTAAAATTAATGGTAATATGACTTGAAATCGTTCACAATGGCGCAGATGAATTCACTCTTTGTGATGTCCTCGACGGCCAATGTTAGCTGATATAGGGCCAGGCTGGAAAAGATCTAGCGGCGGTCAAACGAAAACATGGCACCAGTCAATGAAATCCACAACAGTTAGCTTAAGCCACGTAGGAAGATGTAGACTTCCTGGTTGGGGTCCTCGGGACAGTAAAACCCAATGGTTGGAAACAATTGGTGACATGGCTCAAAATCGTTCTCAGTGGCGCAGATGCATCCACTCCTTGTGACTTATGATTTCCAATTAAACTGTTTTGTTCTCCGTTATTACTATTCCTTTGTCTCACACCTCTGTTTACTGACTATATTATGCATTTCTTCTAATGCTTTGTGTGCTACATGGAGTGTGGCGACTTGAACTGCCGCACATATGTGCAAAGTTCTATGTCGAAAACCGACCGACCGACCGATGTCCATTAAACCCTCATTTTTCTCCATGTAACTATTCTTTCTCCCGTACATCTCTGCTTATTATAGTTCTTCTGATTCTCTCTTTTCTCTAACTTTATGTGCTAAATGGAGTTTGGCAACTTGAACCGTTGCACTTCTGTGCAAAATTCTACATTAAAACACTGCTAGTCATCATTCTTTTAGAAAGGTACGTGCATAATCCCATAGTTAATGTTGAGCGTATTGCAGTACACAGTATCGTAATATCGAAAGATCTCATGGTTCCGTTCGTAGTTAACTTGATTTGTTTTTCTAGAAATTGTTTGACTGGATTTTTGGATAAGATGTGGTAGCTTTTCTGAGACTCATTTTAACAAAGTATAGACTGGAGACTTTAGAAGAAAACGGATTGGTGGTTATAGGGAAAGATTCGGTTTGTATATTTCTGGGTGATTGTAGAATTAAGGAAGAGATGTGTCGTTAGATTTCAGCATCTTATATGCCTTCTATAGTTTACTCTACGTTTTTGTCTTATTTTGTTATTCAGTTTGTTGTTTGTGTCTGTCTACACTTTTTCATGCGTCGATTACTCGTTCCACATATCTTTCTTGACATGGTTTATTTTACGCCTTGGAGATGTCAAGATTTAATGCCTGAAACCTTCTCGTAAACTGGTACAGAATTTTCCATACTGGCACAAACGTATCCCATTCTTTATCGTCGAAATTTCGAACTTGTCTTTAGTGGTCTTCATCAAATTACTTTGTTATAGTTTCGCTTTTGTCGACTATAGTGTCACTACACTGCTGTTACTATTATTATTATTGTTTATAACACCCTTAGGTTCCGAGTGCAATATAAGGATTCAAAAGCACATAGCAATCTCATTTGTTCTCTTCACTCCTACTTAGTTAGTTAGCTCCACGATTTTCCATAAGTTCTCATCTCCTCCTAACGCGATCTTCTCTGTGTCAATCTCAAACTCACACCAAACTCGTCGTTTCCAATTCAGGTTCTGATTGAGGCCCTTGTATGTGATTTCATTCAAGGGTCTCCTCAGTGTGTGTCTGATTTGTCTCCATTTTCCTTAGCATAGGTTTTGGGCAATAGGTTCTTGGTTGGTTCATTGCTTGCCACAGTTCCTTGCTGAGTGATATCAAAAGATCTCACGGTTCCATGTGCAGTTAGCTTGATTCGTTTTTCTAGAAATTGTATAGCTGGATCTGTTGATTATTATTATTATTATTGTTCCCTTGGGTTCCTAATGGAACATAGGGCTTCAACAACACGTCTCCACTCGCTTCTGTCTTCTGCTGTACTTTTCACCTGCATCCATGTTAGTCCATACTGTTTCAGCTCCTCTTCACACGATCTCCTCCATGTCACCCTTAGACGTCACACTCGCCACTTCCCTGTCGGGTTCCACTCGGGCACTGGCCTGACGCGCGATGTCACCCAGCGGCCTTCTCAGTGAGTGTCTAACCCATCTCCACTTTCCCCTGCATATTTGTTCAGCGATTGGTTCTTGTTTTGTTTGTTCCCATAGTTTCTTCTTGGTGATTCTTCTCGGCCACCTGATCTTCAGTAGAGAGCGAAAACAGTTGTTGATAAAGGTCTGCAACAGGTTGTTGGAAATATTCTTTGTGACCCGCCAAGTTTCTGATCCGTATAGAAGAAGTGACTTGACGTTTGTATTGAAAATCCGAATTTTGTTGTTGA